TATTCGACCGACTCCACAATAAAGCAGCGTGGAATAGAGTTTTAGAGGGATGAAAATCGGGTTTTCAGATTTTTGACCATTAAAACATAAATTAAAATTTTGCAATTTCTGTGCAAACCATTTTGTAGAGCTTGAAAAACACTTTTTTTGTTTACTGAAGCGGTGTTGTCCAGTTAATGGTTATGGAGAAAATAAAAACCACTATAAATTTAAAATTCCCAAGTTATTATTATGGAGAATAAGTAACCTTTTGTGGTTTTCGTATTTAAAGTGATCAAATTTTACACAATTTTATGTTTTCAATTTTTAGTAAGTTATGCCATTTCACTAAACATATGTTATTTACTGTATTACCTTCCATGTAGCAGCAAACCTAATGCTATTTTAATGGCAAATAAATCTGGCATTTTAAAAGAAATATATTAATGAGTAAGCAATCAGGTAAATATAAATTTGCTCAGTCTGCAGGTTTGCTGCTACAGGAGTATACTTTTAAATATGCGCAAATCAGCTGCAAGTTGTACTCTAGGAGGATTAAACATTACTATAGAATAGTATCGAGTGGGCTTTCAAGGTCCTATTTCTATTATGCAAACAGACACGGATCCGACAAACCGGAAGTCGGATTACAACGAGCGCGGTGCGCCAGCTGATTGAGATCACCTGATTTGCGTACAGCTGATTAATTATTTATTACTGCTGCTCTCTTCACGCGTATCGAATTAACAGAGATTTGAATTCATATTGATAATCTGTTGTGTCTGTGGACGTGCCTTAATGTGGTAGAGTTATGAGTGTAATCCAATTTCAAAAAATCTACAGAAGACTGATTCATAGCGATGTGATGAGACACAGAAAAAATAGTCTTTTGGCTATGGAGGAGTTTGTCACGCATTTATTAGTTTGAAACATGCACTTAAACCACTTAAAATGTGTTGTTTTACGTCTATATATACTATATCTACACACAAGCAATTTCAGAGTGCGATCAATGGTTCATAAAAAATAGCTTACAGGCAGCATATTTTATCGAAATTTTAGGGAGAATATTTCATATATTTTTATTCTTGAAATTAACTGAACGGGTTAAAAAAACCAACATGAGATAAATCATAATAAGGACGGAGCCGAGTTACTATATCACCGCTTCGTTGATCTCCGGACCCCCCCCCCCCTCTCCTTTGAATTTTGGCTAGCATATTACGTGCAATTTTAAGTGTTTTTTTTTTATAATGCTAAGTTGTTTTGTTCTTTGAATTAATAAGTATGTACTAGTGTACATGTTGCTCGAAATCAAGCAATTGCAAAGAAGTAAAGTAGTTATTTAAAAACAAATAACTTATTTAAAAAACTAATAAAAGTCATAATTTCCGATGAGTTTTAGACTCAAATCATAGATTACTTACCTAACAGTTCCATACAATCAACATTTCTCGTAAATATTATATTAATTTTTAAAAGATTATTTTGTTTTTTAGTGTATTCACTTAAAGCCACATTAGGTTGTCCATGATGATCTTCGTCAATGATAATGTAGTCTGCATGGTACTACCATAGATAAAAGAGTGTTTTATCTATGGTACTACCCATTGTCGCCAGTACGTTTACAATTTTCAGTCATTTTTTTATAGCGATAACATTTTGTTAACATTACTTAAGAACTGCCTGATTTTCTGCATAACCTCTCACCTCTCTATCACAATTGTATTTGCTTCAATTGGCAATAATTTGGCTAGTTACTGTTATAACGTAAGCTATATCATTGAGTATACACGTATACTCAATTATATACGTGTATACTCAATGGTTAAATTTACCTGAAAAAATTCAGAATTGAAAGTCCTAATGTTGTTCAGATGGGTTTTGTTTCCCTTAAATGTGAATAATGCAAATCCTTCAATGAGTTTTTTTTAAGATTTCTTGGATATAGTCATATTATTTTAAAATCACTTGACTTTTATGAAAATATATATTTAATGTCCTTGCCGTACCAGTTTAATTCGGCCTTAGAGTTTTTTCCTTTGCCAATCATCATAAAGTCAAGTCCGTGTTTCCTACAAAATAGTAACACTTCGGCTAACATCCTTGTTCATTGTTTGTAGGAATCTTCATATTGTAGGTGTTCTTCATTATATAGGAGGAAAAATATATCAAATTGCCCAGGCTTTCTCGATTTTTTATATTGTATATTAAAGTAGTGAATATTTAATTTCAACAAAATCAGTAAATGAACCCATTGCGTTTCGTTGAATTGAAAAATAAATATACCAGCAATTAAATTATACAGCTGATCAAAATGTAAACAATTATGTTCTTCGTAAGGATAACATGGGAACTTTTAAAGCCACTGGGGCAGAGCCCAAGGGACTTTTTCAAATGCCAGTTTGCAAATCTACGCGACACGCTCTTTCCAATGAGACGTCAATGGAAAAAATCGGTTAAGAAATGGCGGAGGAGTTCAACCGACAAAATTTCATGTAGCGTATTAGATTCTGAATTCTTTTGTATACGAGTATTATAAAGCAAAACAATGCAGACGCATTTGTGTTGAATGTTTTGTTTTGGCTATCATACATTATTATTGTATTACAATATATATCACCCTTTCACTCGAATCACATATTTACCTCAAATCAGTCATGTGTTGGATTGGATGACTTGGATTTCATTGCGGTTGATGACAGAAAAGTCCTTTGCGTTATGAGACAACAAACACAACAATGCGATGTTGATGACTTAGCACTACACTTCTATCTTTATGACAGTTTAGACACAATGCGTCATCCCGCAGTTTTGCTTTCGTGTAAGGTTTAACTAAAGTGACTTTGGTTAGGTATATTATTGTTAAATTGTGCATAGCCTATATATTATAGACCTATTTAAAATATACCATTCAATAGACATACATTGGTATTAAGTTAAAATGTAGCTTGTTGCCATTAGTACTCTTCACGTAATTACCAGAGGTTTATAAAAAATGCTGGACTGTGAATTTTTCAATTCTTATGCCGTAAAAACTGCAACATCATTACATATTTCTTAAGAAAAACAATGGAACAAAAGGTAAAAATCTCTGTCCTTGAAATACAACCTTACCACTATTACCTCAGTTCTACTCTAATGCCGCATTCGCCTAGTTATAGCCTACAAACACAACACTGGTTCTATAACGGTTTCCAAGACACAATAACACCGCCGCTATTGTTTGCTACAGTTTCCCCGCCAAGGACCAGTGAAAGTGGGAAAAGCGCGCGAGATGTGGTATTTGGCGGTAAATCGATCTCCATGCGTCACAGCGTGCGTGATGAGTTTGAGTGTACTAGAACTAGGCTATTGTATACAAAGATGTCAGAGTATGGAAAACCTGGACGTTGTATGCAGGGAGCGACAAAGTTGAAGGGTTTAGTTATCTGCGCCTGGAGGAGTTGCGCGTTACCCAACACGCAACAGTCGTCTGCTCGTGTGAAAGTTAACTTGCATAACGCTGCAGCTGCACTGGCGCAGTCAACACTAACACTGCAAGTCTCAATTACTTATCTACCTATTACCTATACTTGCAGGTGGCTCAGATTTAAAGGAACTATAACAGAAGATCAATGATATTACAGGTTCGGCTATTCTCCAGATTGATTATAGGCCAAGTTCGTCATCTTTAATTGAGTAATTAAATAACTACGATTTCATTTGTCAACTTGATGCTAGTAACTAGACTCGTACTTGCACCGTTCCCTGACAACCACAAAACAACTTTCCACCGAAGAATAAATTGTTATTGTACCTACAGTGTCATAACCCTCAAGGAAATAAAGATCAATACTGTGTAAATACCATAACAGAGACATTGTCACATTGTCTATACCTACACTAATATTATTCGATAATCATGTTATGACATATTACGCTTATAATACTCAGGTAGTAAAGAGGAAAATTATTGAAGTATTTTTTTTTAATTACAGGCCTACACGGATACATTATATCAACGCCCTTGAGAAAATAAGGGGACTTACCCTAGTGCACCCTATACACTCTACGCTGTGCACCAGCTAAATGTTTAGTTTATTATGACACCCATTTATTATATGGATGAGTATATTTCTCATGCACATCAAAATATTGCACAATAATCCAAATAATAAATGGTATAAAGACTGTATGATAACATCATTATTAAATGCATCGTATAAATTATTTCAGTAGAATAAATCATATATCTACAAAATAAGTACTGTAGGTAGGTTAGTGACTACACACTAAAGTAAATAGATTAAGGAAAACAGCCTCAAGAACTGTCAAAATTCATAACACTCTCCTTTTTACCCAGTCAGAGCAGTGTAATCGATTGGTGATCGGTGTTAACCACCAAACCGTTCACCAATTAATAAACTAATTAATTAACTCTATGGCTACACTTGGACCGGGCAACCAAATTACACCGACCTCCTCTTCCCTGTTCTCTGACATATCGTTGTCTAATTTAAACTATCATTCATTTCAAATATGTTTAGGGACACCTCAAGAACGAGAGAATTGCCTTTTATCACGATAACAATACAAAGCAAAATACGCAGTACTTCAGATAAAAGTATGGATCCAGGAAGATCTGCTCCGAATGTGGCCTTGAGCACTTGCTAGTGTTGAGTTTGAGGTTAGGTATTTTGTGTACACATTACACTCACACTGTATGACTGTAGTAAGCCGCTAAGGTTACTGTAATGAGGCCTTGGTGAAGGGGAATGCCGCAATATTAAGCAACTCCGCACGCGCAGCAGGCTGCAACACCCCTTGTATTTAACTACTGATTAAACTACGCTGTCAATGCTGTCACTTATACCAAGACAAGATTGTTTGACGTATTTACAATCCATGTTACTCGAGGGTTTGATTTTTCATTAATTCTTCTTTGCATATTTGTTTATAAGTGAGCCGTTTTAAAATGAAGCGGTTGGTTTATTCTCTTTTGTTAGCATTAGTTGAACGAATAACCCAAATAGTAGTACCTTCAAATCTGAAGGCTGGTGGTTCGATTCCAAGCGAGATCGTTACCATAGGCCTCCCCATGTCCTTTATCACTAGGCCAACAGGACAAGGGTTTGGACCACTCTCTAACAAAAAAGAAGAAGAAGGAATTACAATAGTGTACATGTATCCAAAATTTATTTACCAAAGATTCAATCTTTTTTCTATGTTGCGTTTCTTCGTGCAATTCAGCTTAGTATGTTGGCAAAAGCAAATTGGTGTAAGAACCATAAATTAAAATACCCCCGCTGCAGCAAACATGCAAACTAAGTGAATTTCCATTTGCCTGATTTCATTGTCAATAACAAATGTTTAAGGAGTACATAGGTTTGCTGCTACTGTACAGGGAGGGTAATAGTTATTTTTTTAGTAAAATATTAATAGCTAAGTATAAAATAAATACATTTGCCAAGTTTGATCAAAATATATCATGGGAAATTTAATTTTTGAATTTTCTTCGTAATTAAAAACGTTACGAGAACACTTCGATATACTAAATTAATTGTTTAGGTGTTAACCATTATAAAGTGTTTGTTGGTTGAGTGTTTGCCGCACTCTAGTATTCCAACCAAACAACACAAAACAGTGTACTTTTACAAGACACATAGTACGCGTACGGTTGAAAATAAGTTAGAACACTAAAGATACTACGACTACGATTAGCTGGTGCAGTGTTTCCCATTTCGCTCAACATTTTGAATTAACCTTAACTAAAAACGTGTTGTATAGTGTTTGAAAGACTAATTACTTACATGCTTTATAGTAACTGTAGGAGAAATAAAATGTGTTTCACGAGCGCAAAGTGCCACTTCGCACAATAGTTACACAAATAACTTTTTTGGTTGATATTGTATAAACAAAGTGACCACAGCAATAGAAAAGAGGTGTTCACATGAATTTGCTGGTAAGTTTATCCAAAATCAAAATCAAATAGGACTATAATTACAGAATTTTCTGTGATATGTGGTTGATATTTCTAACTCTAAACTAATAAATATGTGGATAAAAAAAATGAACAATGTTGAAAGTAAAATGTCCAAGGTCTATGACGATCGTCAAGTCTTCAGTCACGTAGTTGTCAATGTCATATTGATTGTCTGGGGTTCATCAACCCTCCATACTTCACATAGAGTAGTTATATACGCTGTACTTAGGTGTTTCATTCTGACAAAAATAAACTCTTACAGTGAGTTACAGTATATGGTTAAGTTTGGTTAATCTATATAAATAAAATTAGAGTTTTGTCTGTACATTGCTTAGAATAATGAACTTTTTGGTTATTTTTACATTTCATAGGTCAGAGAAACCGAATCAAACCTTATCTCAATTTCTGTCTGTCTGTCTGTCTGTCTGTCTGTCTGTCTATCTGTCATTCTCTTGGTAACGCTAAAATACGCACTTTATTACAACTACTCCTCAATAACTATAGCACTGTCCCGCCTGAAACTTATTTTCCAAATACTATACATATATGAGATGGTTTTGAGACGTATTTCATCGAATATGAGACAGTTAGATATTTAACAGTAAACCCTTGAAAATCAAGTTTTTGTCGATTTTTGACGTGGAATTTCTGGAAGCCCATGTTAACCTTATGAGAAATGAAATTATTGAATCTTAACAGCTGTTTCAATTAAACAAGTTGGTTCTGTTCTGTGATGTTCAATAGCATTAAAGTTACAAGGATTACCAACAGGGTGCAGCACTAGCACTATTATTTCTTTTACATTTATGACAACAGCTAATTTGCAACCTGGAGGCGAGTGAGCGTAGCGAACGAGCTAACCTGAAGGCAAGTGAGCGTAGCGAACGAGCTAACCTGAAGGAAAGTGAGCGCAGCGAACGAGCTCCAACATACAGGTGAGTGAGCGTAGCGAACGAACTTCAACCAGGACGTGATTGAGCCATGCAAACGAGATCAGATAGTAAAAATAAAAGTAAGCCTACCGTTATAGGATCGACCGGCAGACACAGAGGTAATTTAACCTTTTATTGATTGTCATACCGATCCGGAACAACAAAAAACAACATAAAATGAAGCTATGTATAATAGTTTGGCCAGCATATCTTAAAATATGCAAACCAACTGCTGTTCTTTATATAAGAAGGTTTCAACTGAATATTATAAGATCCCCGTGCGTAGAACGGGTACACAGCTATCTATATAAATAAAATTAGAGTTTTGTCTGTACATTGCTTAGAATAATGAACTTTTTGGTTATTTTTACATTTCATAGGTCAGAGAAACCGAATCAAACCTTATCTCAATTTCTGTCTGTCTGTCTGTCTGTCTGTCTATCTGTCATTCTCTTGGTAACGCTAAAATACGCACTTTATTACAACTACTCCTCAATAACTATAGCACTGTCCCGCCTGAAACTTATTTTCCAAATACTATACATATATGAGATGGTTTTAGACGTATTTCATCGAATATGAGACAGTTAGATATTTAACAGTAAACCCTTGAAAATCAAGTTTTTGTCGATTTTTGACGTGGAATTTCTGGAAGCCCATGTTAACCTTATGAGAAATGAAATTATTGAATCTTAACAGCTGTTTCAATTAAACAAGTTGGTTCTGTTCTGTGATGTTCAATAGCATTAAAGTTACAAGGATTACCAACAGGGTGCAGCACTAGCACTATTATTTCTTTTACATTTATGACAACAGCTAATTTGCAACCTGGAGGCGAGTGAGCGTAGCGAACGAGCTAACCTGAAGGCAAGTGAGCGTAGCGAACGAGCTAACCTGAAGGAAAGTGAGCGCAGCGAACGAGCTCCAACATACAGGTGAGTGAGCGTAGCGAACGAACTTCAACCAGGACGTGATTGAGCCATGCAAACGAGATCAGATAGTAAAAATAAAAGTAAGCCTACCGTTATAGGATCGACCGGCAGACACAGAGGTAATTTAACCTTTTATTGATTGTCATACCGATCCGGAACAACAAAAAACAACATAAAATGAAGCTATGTATAATAGTTTGGCCAGCATATCTTAAAATATGCAAACCAACTGCTGTTCTTTATATAAGAAGGTTTCAACTGAATATTATAAGATCCCCGTGCGTAGAACGGGTACACAGCTAGTATTACATACAGGAACATTCATAACAAAACAGATACAAAGGCTAAAAAGATATAGCGGGGGACCTGTGTACGCCCACGCCGTGTTGGAAGTATTTATAACTTTATCAATTATTGCGTCAGACAGGAATGGTGAAATTAATCCTACACCTTATAACTCATAAATATAAATGTGGGATACAATGGAAAAGGTGTAGGACCTAATCCCTACTTATTTAATACACAGACAGTTTTTAAAACGAAACTCCTTCTTAACTTCTCAGCTGATATTAATAATTTCTTTAACGAGTTTACGGTGAAGTTTTCTCACAAGAATGTTCTTAGTTCGATCTAAAAAGAATATAATATATTGAGCTTTAAACACGTTTATAAGATTAACAGAGCGATTTGTTCGTGTTTACGTGATGTGGTCTGATGCCGACTACAGTAGTACAGTGCTGTATGTCTATAACCCGCGCTCAGAGGTTCCCCTTGTGTAGAGTCTCTGGCACAACCACGTCCTGGCAGTGAATAACAAAGTTATAAAATAAAATACTTAATTCGAAATACATTTTAAAATTGGGTAAAATTTCTATTAAGATAACTTACTGCCTTCAACTGATGCGCTGCAGGGTCATGAAGTAATGCTTTTCAACACCTCGTCCAACCAGCATCTGAAAAACAAAGGCCAATATTAGTCCATTATAACACGTATGTTTGGTAAGAATTCACTTTTTAAGAGCATACTTGTAGAATCCTTTAGCTTGATATTAGGCTGAGCACTGATTTTATTGTGATCATATTGGTTCCATGTATGCAATAGGGGTGAAACAGTTTGAGCCAAAAGAGGTTAAAAGTTTGTCCGATATAGTGAGTAGTGACCCCTCCTATTATCGAGAGTACGACTCTATAGATTCTATGATTGTGACATTCGTGGTTTGTTTCCTAGAATAACCAAAATAACAGTTCGAAAGTGTTTCAACAAAAATAATTAATTTTACTCATTAAAAAAACGTGGGACTATATTAAACAAACAGCAACGATATCCCAGCCCCCAGTCATTACCACGACGTTTCAGTTTCATAATGTAACGTCGTCAGCGCGCCGTCGTTAACAGTGACGACCTACGTCCGAGCCCCTTCAATCGGTAACGTCAACATTATCCACAGAGCATGAATTCAAGCATTTGTACAAGTATGCAGAGTTTGTGAACTACAGTGAATGATCTTTACTTTATTTAATACGTAATAAATCTATGTAAACCCGACGGTGATATAAATGATGCAGAAAAATATTCAATGCAGAAAATAATACAAATTACTAGAGACTAGTTATTTCTGCGTTGAACACAATTCATTGTAGAGTAAATTATATGTTAAATTACATATATTACACTAACGTTTTTGTTACGATACAATATGATTGCATAGTAGGAATCCACTACTTTTAACATCATTTCCAAAAACATAGCTCACGGTTAAACTTCAAACTTTAAGGCATGATAATTATTAAGCATCAATTATTCTATTAACTTCTTAGTGTACATATTTTTATATTGACAGTTGCAGATTAAAGAAGAGGGCGAGTAAATTAAGAATATTATACAAGACTAGAAAACTTATCGTATGGTCAATTTATAAACTCTCTCCGGGTACCATAAAAGCGACCATCGTCAAAATTCTTTGCTCAAGCCATGAACAGATGAATAAAGACTACATTAGCATAGTTTATTCAGCTACCATCAAGTTGCTTAAGCAAATTACGGAAAATATTTAAACATAATATTTTGTCAACTAGCATTCATTAAGAGTGCATTTAAAGGTTTTACTACAGGGCTTCTAAATCTTAGTGGTTTTTTTTCTCTTATTTTATTCTTAATTAGTTTTTTACTGACAAAAACAACAAACCAAATTATACTTTAGGGAATCCCTAATGTGTAATCAATCCAATGTGAAAGATTATAGTCTACCACGTTATACCTCGTAGAACTAAACATTTAAGTATTTAGAGATATCAACTGATAAGGGATAAGGTAAACGCACCAGTAGCTGACAGTATAAGAAACTATACGCACTTAATAATCCGTGGTTCTGAATAAATAGGAACTAAAGAGATATTACGGATTTTATATGATTCTAAATTTAGTGTAGTTTTCAAATTTGTCATACAAAAAGAGGTTTTTAAATATATTTTATAAAATTTTTAAACTTAATTCAACCTTTGTACGTGTTCCAGTGGCTGACAGTGAAAAAAGTGCTTGTACCAGTAGCTGACTGTCAGTTGTCCCAGTAGCTGACACTGGAACTATAAAAATGCACTATTATGTTACTTCATCTATGATATATAGCTGCTAAACCTAGGGGTTTTATAATTTATAAGACGAATAAAATCTAACTTAATAATTAAATTATAAAATCATGTAAAACGTTATTAAGAAAATTTATTTACATATTTTAAAATAAAAAAATATTTACATTAAAAAATATATGTACTTTATATATATTTTTAAAAAATAAAATTGTTTAAGATAATTTGGCATATATTAATTAAAAAATTAAAATGTATGATATAGCATGCAAATTTCGATAGGTAAACCCAATTTAATATTGTGCAAGTAGCAAATATCCCCTGTCAGCTAGTGGAACTTGTAAGGCTTTTGTGTACCAAAGCCTGACATTGATATAATTTTAAATCCAAAACCTCTAACACCCCAATTTTATCATGAAATTGTCAACAAAGGTATAATTGATAAAAATAATGAGCCTAATCATTAATACTATTTAAGAAATTTAGCGAAATGACAAAAAACCAAACTTATCTTCTTAACAATTTCATTAAGGGAATCGACTAAATGTGATGTGTACAGACAGGGTCGCTTTCAAACCACCACCATTCAGCGAGTATGGGCTAAATTTCACTGATTTGTTTGTAAACAAATCAAGAATAAACATATGTTCTTCTAACAATGCAATTATGTGCACATATTTTTAAGAGACCACAATATAATGATGTAAAGAAACTCAAACTGTCAGCTTCTGGTGCATTTACCTTTTAAGTATTTTCGGAGAAATCCCTGATAGGAAAACCCTGTAGATTTGCACAGCTGATAGTTCTCAGTTTGTTGTGATGTAAATAAGCTGTTTTATTGCCAATAAAGAGGAGTGAGAACGGTCGGAATGTATTACCCTCGTAAATTGTATTTTGGCACTCACTCCTTGAACAAGATCTCAACAAACTAACGAAAAAACATATGAAATAGGATTGTACGACGAGCTATTTTCAACGTAAACGCCATTTGAACCATTCTCAGAGCAAGTTGTTTTGCAATTATGTACCAAAAACTAACAGGCCTATATCTTAAATCAAATGTTGTATTTTCAACTTATATAGTTTTGCTCTAGTTTTATATTCAATAGTGGTGTATAGAATACCGGTGGTAGTTATACACTAAGTTATATTTTAAAACTTTAATATAGCTGACATTTTATTTTACCATTTTAAATTGTAAAATAGTTCAAGTGTGAGTATAACTGTTGTCGTTAGCAGCGTCAAATCGCGGCGTATTAATTAAAGTCCGCATTATGTATATCAAACTCAACTCACATGAGAAAGTACAATAACACTTTGGGCACTTGCAACTCAAATTCAACATAACAACTCCAACTTGTTTGAACGGATAGTGTTTTGGCCTCTGGGGACATCGAAACGAAAAAGTAAATCGGTCCCGTGTATAGGTCTTACGATGTGACATACGGTAATAACTTATTTCCCATATGGGAAATTTGCCTAACTAGTGTACCTGCTGCTCGAAATCGAACAATTGTCAACTTTCAACTGTTCATAACAATCCGATGAAATCCAAATTTCTTGAAAACATTTTATCATTTTTCAGAAGCTGGCCTTGCTTTTTAGCGTTTTTCTACAAATGGATCTCGACCATCAAAGTACTGTAAAAATAATACAACTCGATGTTCCCGACCCATAGTCGCATAAAGTTGCTCATGATTATTTTCATCAATGATAAAGTAGCCTGCATGGCAACACCATTTAGTTTAGTAATTTTTAATAGCGATAAAATTGTTCACATTACTCAAGTAGTAATATATATATACATATATCTATCTATTAATAGGCAAGCATGTTTATAAAAAACCTTTTATCTCAGCTCGAGTGCATCGCGAGAAAAACCATGCATACTGTTAGAAATGTATTTTCCTGTAGATGTGTAGAATCCCTTTAAAAATAAAATAGGCTCAAAAAATAACACAAAAAAAATAAATTAAAAACCAATTACATTGGCCTTATGGGTTGCTAAGCTGGTGACTGAAAAACAACGAAATATAAACAGAAAATACAAACAAATGGAAGAAATTTCAATCACATGTTTTATTTACAGCTTGGGGTGAAAATAGAGAAGTCTGTACATTACATATTTTTGGTCGAGTTTTCGACCACTGGATGACCTCTAGTATAAATAGATTAGACATGTTTGGGTTTAGATCCCGTCTTTATCATATGTATAACGACATTGAACCCATTAAAGAAGGTCTTTACAATAGAACAGTGTTAATTACTATGACGTATTTATTGTTAAGTTAACTTCCTTGTAATTTTAAAGCCAACGCCACGCTTCGCCGGCCACTGAATGAACGAAACCCGTTAAAATACCATAACTAAATATTAGAAAAATGTAAACAACATTTTTTAGACGTTTTTGGCCTATAGATATTTAGTAGTACTGTAAAAAGTAACCTATATAGATACAAATTTAGTATTGAAAATTCCAGAAATAAAAATAAGAAGATTTTAACCAGATATTAGTTGTTTGGGAAGGCCTATAGATGTAGTTTCTGTAAAAAGTAATGTAAATAGATCAAATGTATTGACATTTATATTAAGATAACCGAAGTTTACATGTCACCAAGAACAGAAATGGCCTAAAATATAACTTCAAGGAATTTTTGGTGTAATGTGTTTAAGACTTGCATAGTATATTTTAAGTACTGTAGGACTGTAGGGTGTTAAAACGTTATGAGCATTTGCGTAACTAGCAACAACAATGATAGTAATTCTTAGGCTGCGGCCACACGGGCGTTTTTTCACGCACAAACGCAGCGTGAAAACACGTGAAAAATTAGAGTAGCGTTGAAACAAATAGGCACCCACTACTGCGGGAAAACACACTGCGTGTGGCATACCTCATTACGTTTCATGCTGATCATATTTCTCGCGTATTTTCACGCTGTTTTCTTGCGTGAAAAACGCCCATGTGGCCGTAGCCTTTAGTAAATGAAGGCGATTTCTTCTTTTTCCGTTTTGACGAGACACCTGTAGCTAACAGCTGGTTGCGATGCAGTCAGTGACGCATGCGCAATTGTCCTCAACAGTTCGATCAGTGACGTCATCGCAACATTGCCCGCTCGACAACAAGGTAAGTCCCCCCCAGCCACCCCCCCCCCCCAAACTTCCACCCTGACTGACGCCCGGGGATGAAAACAAACACAGGATGTTTTGATTGAATTTGATTAACTTACGTAACTTATCATTCACTAATTGGTGTAAATTAGAATGTTAGTTTGGTGCTTACTCGCACACGAAAACAAGTATCAAATGTCAACCCTATTTGGCACCAATCTTTTAAATTACGAACATTTACCTTTCAACAGAGTGCATA